TTTTTTTTTTAAAGAAAATTAGTTTTTTTTTAAGGAAAGAAAGAAAGAAAATTAGTTTTTTTTTAAGGAAAATTAGTTTTTTTTTTAAGGAAAGAAAGAAATTTAGTTTTTTTTTTATAAAGGAAAGAAGAAAGAAAATTAGTTTTTTTTTAATATGAGAAGATAAAGAAAAAGAAAAATCCTAACTAAAACAAATCAAGGCAATCACTTTTCAATCAACTCTAACTCTAGGGTTTAGCCTAACTCCACTAGACCAGCTCCTAACCAAAAATTCCTACAGTGAAAAGATCAAAGTTTTACCCAGGTAGTTAGCCAGGTAAGGATAGTACTAGAGGGTGATCAAAGATCAATTAAGTACCTCTTTCCTTGCGGAGCGCTTTACGCAACCCCTAAACCTTGCCTTAGACACCAACTATTCTGAGAAAACTTAAACCGTTCACTTAAGGATTTCTTGTTCCTTATTGAGCTCGAATCCTTAGGGGCCAACGTCTAATGAGTTTTAGAAGGCTTGGATTTGTGAAGTGAGGAATTAGTGATTTGTGGGCTAAGGAAAGGGTGATGAAATCCCTTACCTTATCTTGATTGGGGTTTTGCCCTTAAGAATGTTTTAAGTGTGTGCCAAATCAAGTGCTACAATCACTTTGGTGAATTCCTACACTATATGAAATGCAACCCTAGAAATTAAAAGCGACTAAAAAGGATGATAAAAAGAAAATCTTTTTTTTAATTATGGTCAATAATAATCAAATGTGAGAAGATGAATTTTATTATGGTCAACAAAAATAAAATCTTTTTTTTTAAATCCTAATTGTCTCTAATTGTGAAGCTAGCTAAAGAGGGTGGAATTGAAAACTAGAAAGAAGACTTACCCGAAAGCAATGCTCCAAATTCTTGATCTTCAATCCAAGATTTTCAAGCTCCAAGCGGTTCCTTCACAAGAAAAATACACAAGTTAAAGAATCAAGTTAATAAAATCCTATTTTAGCACCTTCCCCGGCAACGGCGCCAAAAACTTGATGCGGCATAATTATGTACCAAAATTGCAAGTGCACAATTTATCAAGTTATAGTATAAAAAGATATCGATCCCACGAAGAAGGTGATTTTAAGAGATTATTAAACTTGGTTCTTATATTTTGTGCGTGACAATTAGGAATAAAGAATAAGTGTGATTGTATGAGTGGTTGTTTTGATTTATATGCAAGAGGTAATAAATTGAATTTTAGAGGAGAGAAGGAAGAATTAAAGAATAAATGAAATCACAAGGCAAGAAATATGAATTAATAAAATCAAGAAATAAAACCAAAAATGAAAAGAAAATTTAAGAAAGTTAAGATGAAGGATTCAAAAGAGGTAAGAAATCTAGAATATAATCCACTAACCAATTTCAATTACAAAATATAAACTATTCTCTTTTTATCATATTTCAACTTAGATTTATTAAGCATAGATTATCAAACCATTTAAGGAAAGTGTAACCTATCAAATTATCATCTAAGCTAAAATTACTATTCATGATAAGAACAACAACATGATAATAATCCTAGAATTCATAAGCATAACCTATCAAACCATTTAAGATAAGCATAGATTATCAAATTCTTCTTCTACGATTAGTTCTCTAGTTGATTACCCTAAACATGAACATTTTAAGTACAAGAGAATAATTCATACAATATAAAAGAAATTAGACTAGTTTCATACAATTCTAAGATTCCTACAAGAATTAAATTCACATCTTAAGAAATAAAAACAAGAAAAAGAAGACTAATTACAAAATTAAAAAGAAAAGAAAAATCTAAACTATAAACAAGAAATAAATCTAATTACAAAGAAAATAAAAATCTAAACTACAAAATAAATTGCAGAAATTAAATGCAAGAAAAATAAATCTACTCTACAAATTAAAGTGCAAAAAGAAAATAAAAAAGACAAGAAAGTAAATCTATACTACAAGCATGAATTTAAATCTAACTAATAAGCAATAATAAAGAAATTACTAAAAAGAAATAAAAGAGAAAAGAAATGCAAACCTTCAAATTGCTCTTCATCTCCATCCTCATCATTCCACAAAGAGGAGAAAGAACAAATTTAAAGAGGAAAAAAAAATTATTTTTATTAATTGCAACTAAAGTTACAATTTTTGGAAGGCCTTCTCAATTAAGAGTAGCCCTCCTCTCCAAAAGGAGTTTACAAAATTTTCACACCTCTAACCCCTCACTCTCTACCCCTATTTATAGTAAACATCAGTGAATGAGAGCCATTGGATTGAAATCTTATCCAAAAACAACAAATTTCAGCCTTAGATTCGTAACAGACTGCCCAGCGTATCGATGCAATTAAGAGTAGCCCTCCTCTCCAAATAGAGTTACAAAATTTTTTACACCTCTAACCCCTCACTCTCTACCCCTATTTATAGTAAACATCAGTGAATGAGAGCCATTGGATTGAAATCTTATCCAAAAACAACAAATTTCAGCCTTAGATTCGTAACAGACTGCCCAGCGTATCGATGCAGGCATCGATACAGGCATCGATGCAAGCATCGATGTCGGTATCGATGCAGGCATCGATGCCGCCATCGATGCAGGCATCGATGCCTGACCTTCTCCTTTTGCTGTCCGCAGAGTTCCTCTTCTATTGGCTTTTGCACTTGGATTTTGGGCTTTTGCTTGGGCTTTTGGGCTTCTTGATTTCTTCATGTATTTATTTTGGGCTTTGGCATTTCTTGGGCTTTTCTTCTTTTTCTTAGCTTGGGCTTTTGGATAATTTGGAAATTGATTTTCCAATTGGCTTCATGGGCTTTTTGTTGAGAGATGAGAATTTGAGATTTATTCTTCATTAACCTGCAATTAAACATAAAAACAGTTATTAGTGGTATATTTATTCATATAAAATAGATAATGAGGGTATAAAATTGTAATAAAATATGATTATCAGTTAGTTATCTTGGAGGTTCATCTCTTCTCTAAAATCAACCCTTCTTGGGGATTCAAACTTAGCTAGAGTTCTCAACTCTCTTACAGAGAGTTTCTAACTTGTTCAAACAAGTTTCATTCAAACACGCCTAGAGTTCTTAACTCTCTTACAGAGAGTTTCCAACTTGTTCAAACAAGTTCCCCAAACTCGTCTAGAGTTCCGAACTTGTTTTGCAAGTTCTTTATACTCTTACAGAGAGTTCTCAAACTCAGTTGGAGTTATAAACTTGCCTCGCAAGTTCTCTCAAGGCGTCAAGTCAAGGAGAGATGACCAACAGTCCACAAAGTAGAATTGCTCAGATTGTCAACGGGATACAAGATTCAAACTCCCATCTTCACAAAAAAGAACCCAGTTTTAAACGAAGAGAGGGTTTCATCCTTCCCACTTTTGTAAATCGGGGAACCGATAAAGAGAAGTTATATTGAGGGGATTATAATCATTCTTTTTTAAGTCAGTTAGAGAGAATAATACATATTCAATGTAGGCGTAGGTCCCCACACACGGCTCGAGACAAAGAGAAGATGATGAACATCGCTATTAGAGTCACAGGAGCTCGTTTGGCAATGACAAACACATGAAGTGAGTCGACGGATCATACGAAGCAACGGAACTTCGGAATAACGGAAACAAGAGCTGATCGGGAGCCCCGCATCGTTTACGAAAGACGGAGCACCCCTTATGTCTCATTTATTCCACATATGATTCAATCATGGGAGACTGTAGATCTTCTCATCGTCTTTCTAACGCATCTTGAATCACATAATTCCGAGTCCGTACGACAAATTTACGGTGAAAACAAACTCGACGCGCCAAAACCAGAAAAAGCTAAACCAAGACACCCCGTAGTGTCTTGGCTTGGCCAAGACACTTAAGCCAAACCGAGACACCCCGTGGTGTCTTGGCTTGGCCGAGACACTTATAAGTGTCTCGGCCATGCCAAGACACTCAGAAGTGTCTCCAATAAAAAAACGTTGATTTTGGTTGTTTTCGACGGTTTTTCG